CCAAGTCCTCCAAGCTCTCTCCTCCCGCTCTGCTCTCCTAGTGCTCTCCTCTCCTCGAGCTCCTCCTCCTTCTCGCCCCTTCCTGTTCTCTACCTCCTCCCCTCTTTCTTGTCCTCTGGCTCCTCCCATTGCACAACATTGTATCTAGTTGCTTTATTTGTGTCCTGTTTACACAAGAGTTGAGACAGGATGCTTATAGTGAGTATCACAATGCAATATCCAGATTGAAATCAGAAGAGTTGGGGGTGGGGAAATCAGCATTTGAATTAACAAGGGTAAGGCATATACATTTTAAAAGAATGTTATACCAACAAGTAACCTTCAGTATCTATTACATAGTAGACCAGGAGAGAAAACAGATTTAGATTTGACCAAATCTAGAATGCCATTATCTCAGTCTAGTGGAAAAAATATTTCATATCATAAAGAATAAAATTTTATACTCACAGCTTCTAAAAAGCATGGTCAGAAAATTCTACAGTGAAATAGAACTTTAATATCTAGAGGCAGTATGGTTCTTAAAATTGAACTCATGGGGCTAGTGAAGTAGTTCAGTGGTTAACAGTTTATACAAGAAATCTGGGATTGGATACCAAAACCCACATCATACATCTCACAAATGCTTATAATTTCAGTTCCATACAGACACCTGCATACACACACTGTTTACACACACACCCAGGAACACACAAACACACACACACACACACACACACATTCCAAAGAAAGAAAGACAGAAGAAGAGCAAGAAAGATTTTGAAGTGAACTAAAAAATAGTTATACATGGAGGATGTGAAATATTCAAACTATGTATCAGTGATACAAATACTATGCCTTGATGATTCCAATAAAGTCTCTAAATAATAGGGGATAATAAATTCCACCTGGCCATTTCTTGTCATTAAATGAAGCTTCAAGTACTGGGACTTGGCTAATTCCAATTGAGTTGTTGGCCAAAGTTTGTTTGGGAAATTCCCAAATAAACCAGCTATGGCCATGACAATATGTTGCTCCCCATCAACTGAGAGCAAGAACCCTTTGTTGAAGAAAACTCCCACAAAATTCATTGAACATGGAAAGGTTGAGCTCATGCTTACAAAGAGACTTTATCCCTATATTCTAATATCTTTGGCACAGAAAGTTACTCTGCAGTCTACCGAAATAGAAACATAAACACCAACTCAGCCACAAAAGCTTTGATCTACAATGCTGTCTTGCCTGCAAAACATTCTAGGGCAATGGTAAAAGAATGCTTGTACAAGGAACCAACCAACATCTGATTTGATTAAAGGCCAAATCCATCAGATTGAGCCCATGCCCAACACGGCTTGGGTGAGCAAGAACCAGATACCAGATAGTTCAGATAGTTCATAGACCTAGAACAAAACCAGTAAAAGCTTTTCTGAAAAAAAAAAAAAAAGAGTGATAAAATGATTACACACACACACACACACAGAGAGAGAGAGAAACAGAGACAGAGACAGAGAGAGAAACAGAGACACACACATGCACACACACACAGAGAGAGAGAGAGAGAGAGAAAGAGAGTGACTAGGCTCCAAATGGAATGTCTTCATCAAACCCTTCCTTCAGAGCTGAGTTACCTCCATAGAAAGAAATGTGGAGTGTATAAGACAAAAGGAAAAAATAATGCTCTCTAAGTCAACTGAGCAAACTCCTGTGAACTCACAGAGACTGAAAGAGCAAGCACAGGTCCTACATGGGTCTACACCAGGTTATTTGTGTACATACTATGGCATTCAGTTCATCTTCTTTTAATTCTTTACTTACTTATTCATAAAAATACATTTATTTTATTACAGTTTATTCACTTTGTATCCCGGCTGTAGCCCCCTCCCTTGTCCCCAACAAGCTCACTCTCCCTCCCTCATCTCCTCCCATGCTTTTACCCAAGTCCACTGATATGGGAGGTCCTCCTCCCCTTCCTTCTGACCACAGCCTATCAGCTCTCATCAGGACTGGCTCTATTGTCTTTTCTGTGACCTAGTAAGACTGCACCCTCCAGGGGCAGGTGATCAAAGAACCTGTCAATGAGTTCATGTCAGAGACAGACCCTGTTCCCATTACTAGGGTACCCACTTGGATACTGAGCTGCCATAGGCTACATCTGGGCAGAGTTTCTAGATTATCTTGGTTGGAGTATCAGTCTCAGAAAAGACCCCTGGGCCCAGACATTTTGGTTCTGTTGATCTCCTTGTGGAGTTCCTGTCCCCTCCAGGTCTTTCTATCTCCCCATTCTTTCATAAGATTCCCTGCACTCTGCACAAAATTTGGTTATGAGTCTCAGTATCTGCTTTGATACCCAGCTGTGTAGAGTCTTTCAAAGGCCCTCTGTGGTAGACTCCTCTCCTCTTCCCTGTTTTCTCCCTCTTCTGATGTTCTTCCCATTTGCCATTCTGAGTGAGGATTGATCACCTTACACAGGGTCCTCCTTCTTGCTTAGCTTCTTCAGGTGTACATATTTCAGTATGTTTATCCTGTATTATATGTTTGTATCCCTACTGTGGACTTTTTTCTCATCTCCTCTCAATCCCTCCCTCCCATTTCTCCTACTATTCACCTCCCCTTGTCCACTGATAGGGGAGGTCCTCCTCCTCTTCTGTCTGACCCTAGCCTATCAGGTCTCATCACGACAGGCTGCATTGTCTTCCTCTGTGGCCTGGAAAGGTTGCACCCTCCAGGGAAAGGTGATCAGAGAGCCTGCAACTGAGTTCATGCCAGAAACAGCACCGTCTTATCTTACTAGGGAAGCCACTTGGGGACTGAGCTGCCATGACTACATCTGAGCAGGGGTTTTAGATCCTCTCCATGCATGGTCCGTGGTTGGGGTATCAGTCTCTGAAGGGATCCCAGGACCCAGCTATTTGAGCTCTGTTGTTCTCATTTTGGAGCTCCTGTCCTCTCCAGGTCTTTCTATCTCCCCCTACTTTCATAAAATTTCAATCACTGTGCCCAAAGTTTGCCTATGAGTCTCAGTCTCTGCTTCAATACCTTGATCATTAGAGTATTTCAGAGGCCCTCTGTGGTAGGCTCCTGTCCTGTTTTCTGTTTTCTCCTTCTTCCAATATCCATCCTGTTTGTCTTTCATAGCAGCTTTATTCATAATAGCCAGAACCTGGAAACAACCCAGATGTTCCTCAGTGGAGGAATGGATAAAGAAAGTATAGTATATTTACACAGTGGAATACTACTCAGCAATTAAAAACAAGGAAATCATGAAATTTGCAGGCAAATGGTGGGATCTAGAAAAGATCATGCTGAGTGAAATATCCCAGGAGCAGAAAGACACACACAGTATTTACTCACTTATAAGTGGATACTAGACATATAATATAGGATAGACATACTAAAATCTGTTCATGTAAGGAAGCTAAGCAAGAAGGAGAACCCTGGATAATATGATCAATCCTCACTCAGAAGGACACCTGATTTTTGGCTAAGATGCCAGAACCATAAAATGGAAAAAAGATAACATCTTTAGCAAATGGTGCTGGTCAAACTGGATGTCTACATGTAGAAAAACGCAAATAGATCCATAATTATGACCCTGCACAAAACTAAGTCCAAGTGGATCAAAGACCTCAACATAAAACAAGACACACTAAACCTTTTAGAAGAAAAAGTGGGAAAAGAAAAAGAGCCTGGAACTCATTGGCACAGGTGACAACTTCCCAAACAGAACACCAGCAGCACAGGCTCTAAGATCAACAATCAATAAATGGGACCTTATGAAACTGAAAAGCTTCTGTAAAACAAAAGACACTGTCATCAGAACAAAATGACAGCCTACAGACTGGGAAAGGATCTTCACCAACCCTATATCTGACAGAGGACTAATGTCCAGAATATATAAAGAACTAAAGAAGTTAAACAGCAACAAATCAAGTAACCCAATTAAAAAAAAATGGTGTACAGAACTAAACAAAGAATTCTCAAAAGAGGAATATCGAATAACAGAGGAACACTTAAAGAAATGCTCAATATCCTTAGCTGTCAGGGAAATGCAAATGAAAATGACCCTGAGATGTCACTTAATTTTTTGATCTTAGCCATTCTGATGTGTGTAGGGTGATATGAAATATATGCCCTATAGGTGGCAGTAAACCATCTTTTACAGATGATTCTGACATCTCTATCATGAAAGAATTGCTACGAAGTTTGACAGACCTTGCAACTTGCAAAATGTACTTACAAGTCAAAAGTTTCCTCATCAATTGTGATCACGAGTCTATATTGATCTGCTAAAGTTGAATTCTCAAATACAAAGTTTTTCTGAACACTATGTTTCATGATAAGACCATAGGCAAACTCACACACTCAAACACACCCATATGTATGTGTGTGTATGTATGTGTATGTATATATATATATATATATGTATATATATATGTTTACCCATATATATGTATATATATATGTTTATCCATATATTTATATATGTGTATGTTGATAAACATATACATATACAATTGAAAGAAAAGAGGTCATGAATTTTAAAGACTTTCCATCACAGTGATTGTCTTCTCACGTTTCTGATTTTCTCTCTTTCTCTCTGTGGTTATTTCTTATTTATTTATTTATTTATTTATTTATTTATTTATTTATTTATTTATTTATTATTTTAGCGCTTTTAAACAAATTTGTAAAAAGTGCGATTATCCAGCTGTAGAGACATCACCCTGAAGCAAACGTGGAGATGCTAGAGGTTGGATCCCCTTTCCTATGCTTACACATCCCCCTGCCACCCTGTTTCTTTTAAAAAATATTTTATTAGTTATTTGAACATTCTGTTCAACTTGATTTGATCATATTCACCTTGTCCCCCTCTCCCTGTTTTCTATCCTTCTCCTCCTCCTTTCTGAAGAAGGAACACAGCATTAGAACCTCTGCACGTCACTCAACCCCTCTGTAGGGACGTTGGCTTCCTACACTGGAAGTACTGTTCCCTGCAGTCTCCACAGAGCTGCTTCTGATAAGCCATGACTGAGGAGGATCCGGGACAGATACAAGACCGCCCTGACAAGGTTCCGGTGAAAGATGAGAGTGAGAAAAGAAGTGTGGGCTCCAAGAAAACAAATCCTTTTCTGACAGTTACCCTGATGAGGTTTTCATATTTCCGAAGAGCTAAAAACTTTTTCGAAACAGACGTGTTTCCAAGTCCAAAACAGGTCCCTTTAGTGGAGGGGCCATTCGGCTTGGGGAGTCTGGTTTTTACTCCTTTCCAGCGTTTCAACAACATTAAGTGCTTCGTGACTCTTTATTGTCTTCTGGTCCTAGTTCAAGGTAAGTTGGAGAGGCTCTGGTGAGTGGAGAAGTAAGGGAGAAATGAATTCTGGCTTGTGTTCTAGGAATGAGGGAGCACAATTGTGCGTTGTTACCTCCTTGCCTTTGGCCACCTGTTTGGCAGGGTGCACTCCATACTGTGGGTATAGGCTTCTAGCTTCCAATAAAGAGATGATGAGTAGGTGGTATTGCGTTAACGCCTGTTATCTGATGACCAATTTACGTTCTGGTTGAATCTTCAAGATTAAAATAAAATTGAAAACAACATTGTCATCATGGTGTGGTTTCGAAGCTCATGATTTTGAAACACTCTGGCAAAACAGCTTTCTGTGTGAATTTTGTTTCCTCCTCTGTGAATTGAAGAGGTGGTGAGATTTTTAGTGGTCTACATCACAGGAAGAATCGCAAGGGTGTTTTTATCCACATGCTGTCTCATTTCTTCCTCCTCCTCTATGTTTTTAGTTATATTTTTATCAATATTTTATTAATATAAAACTCTCACTTTCTTGCACGTAGTCATTAAATTTTATCACTGTACCTCTGAATATACTTTTAATCAAAAGTGCTCAGTTTAGCTTGGAAACTACATTTGCCCACCTTCCACCCAGCTCCCACATTTAGATGTTGCCAGTGAGAGGCTGGAGCAGTAAGTATCAAAAGTGTAGCGAGAATCTTCTATGGTTTTCTGGTTTGGGTGGTGATTTTTCGCAGCAGGAGCAACACTGAGTGACATTTAGAGTTAAAGTAGGGAATAAATATTCCATCAACAGCCGTCATGACTCTTTCAGTAGCACTAGGTATGCTCCTAGGTATGGCCCTGGTAACTGCTGGGGCAGCAGACCAACAGGTGTGAGTTGATTTTTAGAGCTTTAGGATGCTTAAAAAACAAGGGGTGTCACAGTAGCTATGGTGACTGCAGTAACAGCCTATGGTCCAGCCACTTTGCAGACATCCATGTGTTTTCATTTGTAATTATTTTCTGTTTTCACTCTATCAAATATAAATCTTTTGTAGCTTTTCTTTGTATCAAGTTATTTTTGTTTTGTTTAGTATGATTTTTTCTTCCTAACATGATGGATGATAGTTGTATACACATTATATTATCACTTATTTAATGTTTAAGAACATGAAACAATTTGCTGAAAGTATAAATTTAAAAAAAACTGAAATTGCTCAGAAATGTTGAACTTCAAGCACAAAATCCTAGCTATGGGTGGGTGTATACATAGCATTGTATCATTTATTTAATCCTCAAGAATATGAAAAAATATATTTAATGTTCCTACACAAAACTAAAGTCCAAGTGGATCAAAGACCTCAACACAAAAACACACACACTAAACCTGTTGAAGAAAAAGTGGGGAAGAGCCTTGACCTCATTGGCACAGGAGACAACTTCCTGGCCAGAACACCAACAGCACAGGCTCTAAGATCAACAATCAATAAATGGGACCTCATGAAACTGAAAAGCTTCTGTAAAACAAAGGACACTCATCAGAACAAAACAACAGCCTACAGATTGGAAAAGGATCTTTACCAACCATATACCTGACAGAGGGCTAATATCTAGAATATATAAAGACTTCAAGAAGTTAAACACAAATAAACCAAGTAATCTAATTAAAAAATGGGGTACAGAGCTAAACAGAGAATTCTCAACAGAGGAATATGGAATGTCAGAGAAACACTTAAAATAATGTTCAACATCCTTAGTCAGGGAGATGCACATAAAAACAACTCTGAGATTTACACCCGTCAGAATGGCTAAGAATGCATGCATTTTTAAAAGATTAAAAGTACCTTGAAATAGTACACAGAATACTAGCTATGGAAGAAAACTATATTTGAAGATACAAGCTGTGTTTCAACTGTCTTATACTTTCAATTTTAAAAACTAGGTAAACACCCATTCCATTATTTATTAATTATTCATAGTTGATGCATAATATATTTAAAAGATGATACAGCTATAATTGATCTTTGAGAAACTAATGGAAGTACTCGCAGACTGCTTCTAAAATTTAAGTAAAAATATTCATGGAGGTTCATGAAATCATTTTGTTTATAGATTTTACTCATTCGTAATAACATGTCACTGTAAAAATTTTCTTTGAATTATTATAAAGGTTATATGTCTTGTTTATTAAAATGTGTTATATTGTCTTTTGTCTTTTTTTGACTTTTTAGGAATGGTATTTGGTCTTACTGATCTGAGTATTGGAAATTTTGAGAAGGAACTTTATCTGTCAAGACCAGAAAGATACGTATTGCCCCTCACTTATGATATTTCATCTTTATCAGTAGCAATACTTGTAGCATACTGTGGAAGCAGAGGGAACAGGGCAAGATGGGTGGCAGTTTCTGCCTTTTTGGTAGGACTTGGATCGCTTTTACTTGCTATTCCATACATGAAATATGAAATTGTAAAACCCATGGAAGACGTTGACGGTGAGATTTTTTTTTTTAAATACGCTACATACTTTTATTCAAAAGTGCTCAGTTTAGCTTGGAAACTACATTAAAAAATTAAATAGTTCATGATGTCTGTGTATTCTTTTTTATTTATGTGACTATGCTAATTAATTAATTACCTGTAGCTCTATGATTTACCCTCATAGATGAATCTAGGAAAGAATATTGTGGAATAATTTATAAAATTATTTCTTTTATACAATTTTATGGATGTTACAAATATCTTGAGAAGTCTAGTAGTTCATTTTATTTTTTACTAGATGCTTTAATTATTGTCTTCATTACCTTCGTAGCATAGACCACTGTAAGTTCAAATACAGGAATAAGCTTACATATATAGAAGCGTAATTTTTCTAGTTAATCCTGCCATTTCAATATTTGGACACTACTCTTGATAACCATTTGAACCTGGAAAGATCATGTTTTTGTCACATTGTTCATTCTACAATCTTTTTTCTTAGTAAATAAAATATACTTGAAGTGACACTGCAGTAGATTTCTAACTCTGTTGTCACAGATTTTTTTCCTTATCATGTAATGGGCTTAATTATCTGTGAAGCTGGGTGTTAATAAAACTTCATGAATAAGAGAAGTGTGTCCATGTATATATGTATATCAATGCTTTTAAAATTTACAATATATGTTATATTTATGTTGTTTCCGAAATGTTAAAGTTAAAAGTAGTTAATAAAAGCACACTATCTTCATATTAATGTAGTTACACGCCATGTAATTCATACAACTGTAAGAACTGTATGTTGCATATATCTTCGATACTTACAGAACTGACATTTGCTTTAGTGAGATGATTATGGGGAGGTGAAAAGCATTTCCTCCTTTTCTTCACTTAAAGGTATTCTGGCCAGAAATTATAAAATCCTCAGGAACTTTGTCTTGACAAATATTTTTAAAAATCTTGTCAGTTGTTAAGAACATGTACTCTCCTTGCAGAGTACCTGCATTTGGTTCCAAGCATGCACATCAGGCAGTTAGCAGCCACCTATAACTACAGCTCTAGGAGATCTGATACCCTCTTCTGGTCTCTCCAGGGACTGGTGCATGCACACACGCTCACATGCACAGACAAGCACAATTTAAAAAAATAAAAATAAATCTTTAAAATTTTGTTATCAGCAATTGGGAAGGAATTGTAGATGTATAAATTGCTATTTTTTCTTCCGATTGAAACTTGTTTATGTCATCTGCAATTTACACATATTGTTTTACTTGGGAATGGGTACCCAGCATTCATCATTCTAGATGGCTGATAGCAGGGAAGCAGATATAATTCACTGTTGAAAGTGTCCAATCATTTCTTTTGTGCAAATATTTTACTTATGCTTATGATTTATTTTCTCACAACTTTTGACTATATGCTCATATTTCAATACACACACATACAGTGAGTTTCTCCATTTGTTTATCCACCCCTCTTCTCTTACTGTGATGTCTGCTAATTTTTTTTTCTGTTCTTTCCTTTTTGTGCTTTCTTGACGAGACTCCTCTTCCATTATGAGTGCTCTGAACCTCTTTGGTATAGTCCATAGCTTTCCATTTTCTATTTTGTTATCTGTTCCACGATTCCATCTGTCATCTACAATGATTACATCTTGATAGTCAACTTGTGCCTAAACAAACATGTAGACATCACACTCCACATCTTGAAAAAATCATAACTCCACAAATTCATGAAAATATATATCCTATTCTCCCACTTTTTTTCTAGAATTTTATTTCAAGTTATCATCCTCATCTCTCTCATATTGACCACTTTCTCAGCAGATATACTGAGCTCAGCTTTATTGTGATTCCTGTGAGTGTTTCCAACTTTCTCAAAATGAAGGCAGACTTCTTTCATTGGCACTAGCAGATAGTGAAAACCCACTTTCCCTGATTCTCACAGGTGTCATCTCACTTCATTTGTAACTTGTTTTTTGTCTGCCATCATGACATATCAAAATCTTTTAAACCTCCTCTCATGATGTCCTCAGCTCTATTATCTAACTGGCCTTATCTCCTGCTTGTAAATCTTGGGAATGAATGAGTCATGCCCCTGCCCTTTTCCTGAGCCAGGTTTCAGCAGAGTCCTGTGATGAAACTGCTGCTGCTTAGTGGAAGTACTGATTTCTTCACAAATGGGTCCATTCACCTGGAAGTCTTCTGAGCCCACACTCTATTCTAACCTTTGAAAGTATTTTAGGCTTTCTTGCTGGACTCCTAAGATGTCCTGCATTGCATGGAAAGTTATGTCTTAGACAAAAATTGCCTTAATTTCTTAACACTGAAATTCTACTATGGCCTACATTTGCAAATTAGTACTCTTCATTATTTCTTTCTTATGAAAATGAAGGTATCCTCTGGTAATCAGTGTGCTCCTGTCTGATACTTTGCTCCATTGGTGATCCCCTTTTACAGCTATCTTCAAGTGGCCTTCTCTGTCAGTTCTCCCTTACTAATTAGCACTTAAATGCACTCATGTTCTTCATATTACATGTTTAAATGTTGAACACTTATTATTTTTTGGTTTTTAAAGTAATATAAAATTATTCTCCTCTTTCCTTTTTTTGTCTTCCAACACTCCCCGCACTCTGCATCTCTTCCTCCCAACCCCTCCCATGGCGTTCCCTCTGCTCAATTTCTTACATCCCCACGTAGTCACTCTAAAATTCATGGCCGCTTTTTATACTACTGCTACACCTTAATTGAGAAAAAAGGGGGTCCTTTAAATTTATTTTAAAGTTTTAAATATTAATTTTGTTTTTTCCGTTTAAGTGTTTTGTATATATGAATGCATACACACCGCGTGCATGCTGATGCTGCTGTCCAGAGGGGTTGTCAGATTCCATGGAGTTGGAATGACTGTTCCCTGGAACTACACTTCCACTATAGAGGACTGTGAGCCTCTCTTTGGCTGTTGGAAACAGAACTCAGGCTCTCGGGAAGAACACCCAGAACTCTGAGTAGCTGAGCCTCCTCTCCAGCTCTAAGTTCTTCTCACTCTTAAAGAATAGCAGTAGCAGGGAGGCTTGAAATCAGACCTCTTTTGATCACCTGTTGAAATACAGTATGCAGACATGATTTTGTGAAAGACCTGTTCATGTTTCTTAATTTTCTATACTGATTTCTTTGGTGAACTTCAACATGATTTTATCCAAAATGTTGCAAAAGAATTGTTTTCAACAAGTCACTAGTGTAATTCATGCTATTTACTATAATGAAAATTTAACTTGTTATGAATTTAGAACTTTGAACAGTATTTGCAATATTGAGAACTTTTTATGTCTTGATAGTTTCTCTTTGGGCATTTGCTATGTATTTATAATCTTCCATTTTCCTAATAGAGAATGTTTTTTACTATTAAGACTCCGAAAGATTATACTTTATTATAGAAGTACAAAACATTTGTTTTTAGATACTATTCAATGGAAATCTGAGAACTATGATTCTTAGGAGTAAGTAGACAAGTTAGTTCAACTTTCTAGAACAAGGCAGAGGTAAATGGTCTCAGGAGGTGTTCTATGATTGTTGTTGAATTATGTATCATTACCCAGAAAGTAGGCATTTCATTAGTGCAATAAGTTGTAACCTTCTCTTTAATAGTTTTTCTACGATATATCAAGAGCATATGCTAAATTTCACCCAGGATGGTCATAGTTGATATGGTTTAGTATCACCTGCATAGCTCTACCAATCTACTAATAAGTATAAAATACACAAACCCTACAACTTGTAAGAAAAATAAGAAATAACCTGTGACCCAAGTGATCTGAAGGATTTAAAAATCTAATGGGTAGATGCACACATAGTAACTACAGCGGTTTTGGTTTTTTGGTTTTGTTTGTTTGCTTTTAGTTTTTTGATGCAGGGTTTCTCTGTGTAGCTCTGGCTGTTTTAGAACTCATTATGTAGAGCAGGCTGGCCTCAAACTCAAGAGATCCTCTTTCTTCTCCATCCCAATACTGGGATTAAAGGCAGGCCCCACATTATTTTTTTTTCTTTTCTTTTTTTTTAAATTTTTTTATTAATTACACTTTATTCATTTTGTATCCCCCCATAAGCCCCTCCCTCCTCCCCTGCCGATCCCACCCTCTCTCCCCTTTCTGCATGCATGCCACTCCCCAAGTCCACTGATAGGGGAGGTTCTCCTCTTCTTTCTGATCTTAGTCTATCAGTTCTCATCAAAAGTGGCTGCATTGTCCTCTACTGTGGCCTGGTAAGGCTGCTCCCCCCTCAGGGGGAAGTGATCAACGAGCAGTCCAATCAGATTATGTCAGAGGCAGTCCCTCTTCCCATTACTATGTAACCCACTTGGACACTGAACTGACATGGGTGGGCTACACCTGTGCAGGGGTTCCAGGTCATCTCCACGAATAGTCCTTGGTCAGAGTATGAGTCTCTGGGAAGTTCCCTGTGTTCAAATTATCTTGTTCTGTTGCTCTCCTTGTGGAGTTCCGGTCCCCTCCACCTCTTACTATTTCCCACTTCTTACATAAAATTCCATTCACTCTGCCCATCAGTTGGCCATCAGGCTCAGCATCTGCTTTGACAGTCTATACTGCAGAAGCTTTCAGAGGCCCTCTGTGGCAGGTTTCAAGGTTGTTTCCTGTTTTCTTCTGGCTTTCAGAGGCCTTCTGTAGCAGGTTCCGAGGTTGTTTCCTATTTTCTTTTTCTTCTGATGTCCATCCTCTTTGCCTTTCAGGATTGGGATTGAACATTTTAGTTAGGGTCCTCTCTTTTGCTTAGTTTGTTTAGATGTACAGATTTTAGTGGGTTTATTCTATATTGTATGTTTATATGAGTGAGTATATACCATGCGTGTCTTTTTGCTTCTGGGACAACTTACTCAGGATGATCCTTTCCAGGTCCCACCATTTACCTGCAAATTTCATGATTTCCTTATTTTTCATTGCTGAGTGATACTCCATTGTATAGATGTACCACAGTTTCTGCATCCTTTCTTCAGTTGAGGGGCATATGGGCTATTTCCAGCTTCTGGTTATTACAAATAAAGCTGCTACAAACATGGTTGAACAAATGTTCTTTTTGTGTACTTGCGCCTCTTTTGGGTATATGCCTAGGAGTGGTATGGCTGGATCTTGAGGAAGCGCTATTCCTAGTTGTCTGAGAAAGCGCCAGATTGATTTCCAGAGTGGTTGTACAAGTTTACATTCCCACCAACAGTGGAGAAGGGTTCCCCTTTCTCCACAACCTCTCCAGCATGGGTTGTCCCTTGAGTTTTTCATCTTGGCCATTCTGATGGTTGTAAGGTGAAATCTCAGGGTTGTTTTGATTTGCATTTCCCTAATGGCTAATGAGGTTGAGCATTTCTTTAAGTGCTTCTCTGCCATTCGATATTCCTCTACAGAGAATTCTCTCTTTAGCTCTGTTCCCCATTTTTTAAGTGGATTACTTCGTTTATTACTTTTCAGCTTGTTTAGTTCTTTATATATATTGGATATGAGTCCTCTGTCAGATAAAGGGTTGGTGATGATTCTTTCCCAATCTGTAGGCAGTCGCTTTGTTTTGATGACTGTGTCCTTTGCTTTACAGAAGCTTTTCAGTTTCATGAGGTCCCATTTATTGATTGTTGCTCTTAGAGCCTGTGCTGTTGGTGTTCTGTTCAGGAGGTTTTCTCCTGTACCAATGAGTTCTAGGGTATTCCCCACTTTTTTTTCTAACCGATTTAATGTGTCTGGTTTTATGTTGAGGTCTTTGATCCACTTGAACTTCAGTTTTGTACAGGGTGATAAGTATGGATCTATTTTCATTTTTCTACATGTAGACATCCAGTTGGACCAGCACCATTTGTTGAAGATGCTATCTTTTTTCCATTGTATGGTTTTGGCATCTTTGTCAAAAATCAGGTGTCCGTAAGTGTGTGGGTTTATTTCTGGGTCTTCTGTTCGATTCCATTGATCCACCATTCTGTTTCTATGCCAGTACCATGCAGTTTTTATAACTGTTGCTCTATAGTACAGCTTGAGATCAGGGATGGAGATACCTCCAGAAGATCTTTTATTGTAGAGGATTGTTTTAGCAATTCTCAGTTTCTTGTTATTCCATACGAAGTTGAGAATTTTTCTTTCCACGTCTGTAAAGAATTGTGTTGGCAATTTGATGGGAATTGCATTAAATCTGTAGATTGCTTTTGGTAAGATGGCCATTTTTACTATGTTAATCCTGCCAAGCTATGAGCATGGGAGATCTTTCTATCTTCTCATATCTTCCTCTAATTCTTTCTTCAGAGACTTGAAATTTTTTTCATACAAGTCTTTGACTTGCCTGGTTAGGGTTACACCAAGGTACTTTATGTCATTTGTGGCTATTGTGAATGGTGTTGTTTCTCTAATTTCTTTCTCAGCCCTTTTGTCTTTTGTATACAGGAGTGCTACAGATTTTTTTGAGTTAATTTTGTATCCGGCCACTTTGCTGAAGGTGTTTATCAGCTGTAGGAGTTCCCTGGTAGAGTTTTTGGAGGCCCCACATTATTTAACTTGATGCCTTAATACCTTGTTTTTATGATCCCAGGGTGTGCTTAGTTGTCTTGTTGCTGTGAACAAATGCTAGACACAAATAACTCAAGAATAAGAAAGTTGTGTGTTTCACTCATCGTTTCAGGCCTCTGTGGGTGCTAGTCTCCATTGTCTCTGAGCTCCTGGTCAGACAGTAACCTATGAGTGTGTAAAGGAGTCTGCTTACCTTATGGTGGGAACAAAGCAGGGTGAAGATAGGAAGGAGCTGAAACAAGATATACCTTTCAGAGACCAGGTGGCCTCTCTCTCTTTCTCTCTCTCTCTCTCTCTCGACAGTTATAAGAACTCTCCAAATCATATCAACATGGAATTAAGCATTTTATACACAAGACTTAAGGGGGTATTTCATATACAAGCCATGGTAATACACAATAGAAGCTCAAGGCTCTAAAATAGGATAGGAAATTATTTAATCAAAGTCATAGTGCACATGTAATTTAATGATTGCTAAAGAAAGTACCATGGAACTAAACTCATACGGTGAACCTTCTAGAGCATTGCAAGTACTTTTATTCTGAGGACAAACATTAGAAGAACAGGATTGAAAGTATAGGAAAATGACTGCATATGTATTCTATATGTGAATGAATGTATATGTATATAAGCATATCTGTGTGCATGTATTCTTGTATATATAAATAATCATGCCATTTCATTCATAATATGTATACCTCCTCTTGTAGTCCCACCCATTTTATTTTAGGGTCAGATGAAAGTGGAGGAGGACTGCCCCTATCAGTGCATTGGGGGAGGGGCAAGGGAGGAGTAGAGGGAGGGAGAGAGGTTGAGATTGGGAGAGGATGAGGGAGGGGGCTACAGCTGGGATACAAAGTGAATAAATTGTAATTAATAAAAAATAAATTAAAATACGCTCTTTCTATTTAGAATATAATTAATTGTATGGCCACACTCATAGTGGTGGTAGCAACTGCAAATTAATTGTGCATTTTATTTTGAATTCAATTCAGTAAAATATAATTCTTATCTTTCAAAAGAGTTGTGTTCAGAAGAAGAACATAGGACAGTAACAGTGTGTGAGGAAAACGTATCACCATACAAATCACAAATTATCTCTCTCTTCATCGCCGGCCAGTCTTTCCAGGGATTTGCAGGGATGCCGATTTATATACTTGGCTTGACCTTCATTTATGACCATGTTTCCACACACTCGGCTGGCTTGTACCTAGGCAAGTGTGCCTTTTCTAATATGCATAGCCTATTTTGAATATTCATTAGATTTCTGTATGTTTTAAGACACATAGAAACACTGTTGGCCCTGAGATGACACTGCAATAAGTACTGATGATCTGTTTGCTCAACCTCAAAACCATGTTGGTCTACCTAACTGTGAGATTAGGAACATTAGTGAGTTATCTAATATCACTGCAAGATGTAGACGAATAGAAAACACATGTATGTCTTAAGGAGAGAGAGACAGAGTTAGCTGAACACAGTGTCATCTTGTGTCTTGTGTGAACTGTGTCCTAAGTAAGCATTGATAGATTCCAACAGTCTAACTTTAGCTTAATACAGTCTGATCCTACAGGTCCGAATGAATGTGTACTATAAACTAGAAATCATTTTCAAAAATATAAAATTATTTTTGTACTTACTTTGAAATCATCTCATGAGTTTGTCATCTCAGTCACAAGAAGACTAAGGCATAAGCACCGTGAGTTTAAAACTCTGTCCAACGAACCCCCTAAGGAGAGCAACAGAACCAGAAAATTTGAACACAGGGGTCTTCCCAGAGACTCATACTGCAACCAAGTACCATGCATGGAGATAACCTAGAACCCCTGCACAGATGTAGCCCATGGCAGTTAGTGTCCAAGTGGGTTGCAGAGGAATGGGAAGAGGGACTGCCTCTGACATAATCGATTGACCTGCTCTTTGATCACCTCCCCCTGATGGGGGAGCAGTCTTATCAGGCCATAAAAGATGACAATGCAGCCACTCCTGGTGTGATCTGATAGACTAAGATCAGAAGGAAAGAGAGGAGGACCTCCCTTATCAGTGGACTTGGGGAGGAGCAGGCGTGAAGAAGGGGGTGGGAGGGTGGGAACGGGAGAGGAGGTGGGAGGGGCTTATGGGGGGATACAAAGTGAATAAAGTGTAATTAATAAAAAAATTTAAAAAATAATGTAATTAAAAAAACACTGTCTAGATTGCACAGCAAATACCAAGCCTATATCAGTCATAGCTATATAACAAGACTCTCTCTGAAACGACAACTACAACAAAATGAAATAAGCAATAGCTTGCACTGAAATAATGTAAATTTCCCCCCAGAGTAAGATAATCTTTCCAATAGACTAAAATAAATAATATACCTATTGACATATACCTTAAAAAAAATTGTGTCTTAATACTGTTGGTCAAGAATGGTAGAAAATAACAATTTTAGTTGTACTAAACAGAAATTAAGACACATATCTTATATAGAGAGAGGCTTACTATATTACCACCTCCTAATACTCTGGATGCTTAGGTAAATAATGCAAAAGTAACTATGAGAATGTATTATATTAATCTAGTAAACAATTAAAGGGAATATACTTTATGTATATATTAAATACAGATATTTTTATGCTACATTAAATATATAGACTAAGACACAATTAAGTTCATAATTAAATTATCTGAGTATCTAGGACTTGATTAGATAAGAAGATCTGCCACACGGCTGTACTGTCAGTTTAGATTGTTCTCTGACATTGTCTTAGGTATGATTAACATTCACAATCAGTAGACACCAAGTAAAGCAGATGACATTTATGATAAAAACAGGTCTCACTCAAGCAATATAGAGTCCTAACAAGATAGACTGACTCTTCCCCGAAAAGCAGCAATTGTAGCAAGGGACTAGCATCAACTATGAGATTATCATCAACTCTTGCGTGAATTTCCCACCAGCTTCCTGGCCTACTTACTAATATGGAATTTGTTAGAATTAATTCTGAAATTATTTACAATTTTTTTTCTCTCCCTCTTTCATGCCCTTTCTTCACCCCTGCCTCTTCTACCCATCATCCTTCTCTCAAGTAACAGAGCACGACATGAAAGATTTTCAAATACTGCAGATAATTCAGTTGTTTTTCTTATGACCAAGTTAAATTGTGAAGCCCTTTGGTGTTCTGTGTTCCTCAAGGTCTCGGAGAAGCTGTGCAAATACTTGGCTATGGTGTGGGTTACACAGTGGGAGCACCAAATCTTAAGCCTTCACATAATCACACTGAAGAGGACTGGTAAGTCATACTATTGACTTTTCTACTTACATTTACACTTACATAGTTTACATTGTATAGAATGCTTTCTGAATAGATACCATAGCTCATAAATAATACATAGGAGAGTATATGCAACTGTGGGTGATATATGCAAGTTAAATACATTTGTAGTGTGCATTCACATTTTTATTGTTTGAAATATAAGCAAATTTTACTTAAAAATTCATTAATCTTTGTGTTTTGTTGATTGAAACATATAATTTTCATTCAGTGCAATACAATAGCAATAGTTATGTTCATGGTATGTAGAAGTTTTAATTTTTTAATTAACAGGTTGTGAATAGAATAGTCTGATCATATTCTTTTCCACATCACACTTCCTTAAGGTTCCTGCTACCTTCCTATCTACCTAACATTATGATTCTTTCTCATTCATTCATTGAAAAACAAAAACAAGAAGAAAGAACTCCCATACAAAAACACAAAAATGAAAATCAAAACAAACAATCAAAAGGCCATTAAGACAAAATTGTGCCCTGCCAAAAGAAAACAAAACAAAACAAAAAAACAATTCACACACACACACACACACACACACACACACACACACACACCTCACTGATTTCATTTTGTATTGGGCAACTACTCTGGATGATAAGAGCTGTTCTGGAGTGTTATTTGTTGTGTCTGGAAGATACTATGTCCTTAGAGTCAGTCATCTCTTCCAGTTCCTATAATCTTTTCACCTCCTCTTCCACACAGAACCCTGAGTCTTGAGGATAGGTATTTTATGAAGATATTCTGTTCAAGAATTAGTACTCCAAAGTATCTCATCCACAGTATACAGGTGTTGATCTTTGAGTTATTTAGGTTCTACTGCATGAAGAAGCTTCTCTAATGTGGGTTGAATAAGGCACTCATGTATAGATATATGAGAATGTTAAATGGGGCCATTTTATTGCTACTGTCCTATATAAGAATAGTACTATTAGGTTTGCCCCAGGTCCAGGACTTAGCTAGTCTCGGGTTTTGACCACTTTAGCAGTGTCACTTATGGGTTATCTTATAGAGTGGATTTTAAGAACAATCAAAAAGTACTTGGCTACTTCCAGAACATTTGTAACACTATTGCACTAACATAATTTGTAGTTAGGAAACTCTTTTTAGGTCACAGGGTTTATAGCTTGGGGATATTATTACCTTTCTTTCCTAGTAGCATGTAGAGCCCCTTCCACAGCATGAATGCTGGTCTGTAGGGACAAAACCTCTAGTTAGTCACTAGCTCAACTTTTCTGAGTTTAATGACATAAATTACATGTTCTGTTCAGCAACTGGCCCTGACTATCAAGTTCCCAAGAGCAACCATTAGCCTTGACAATAGGCTTTGATATGTTGGAATTTGTGGCATGCCTTTGGTAAATGACTTAGCAAAATTTAACTGATTACTGGAACTTGATGCAATAAGATCCCTAATTGGGGCATTGTCTTGTCTATTATTTTGTGACTGCATTTGGATTTTTTTTTCATATATGTGTCCATTTACTTGCAACTTATATAATTTCATTTTAACAGATAAATAATACTCTGTTTTGTCAATGTACCACAATTTTATTGACTGTTCATGAGCTGATTAACTTTTAGTTTATTTCAAACTTCTGGCTACTATAAACACAGCAGCAATGAAGATGGATGAACAAATATCACTCTATAGTCCTTTGGGTGTATGCCCACTAGTGATATGATTGGATCTTGAGGTAGACTTACTCCTAGCTTTCTGAGGAAACCTTGTCTTGGATTTCCATAACTCCTGTAACACTCTGCATTCTATCAGCATTTACTGTCATTTATTTTATTGATTTTGACAGCCTGAATAATGTGAGACAAAAGTAGTTCCAACTTGCATTTCATTCATACTTAAAGGGGATGAGCATTTCTTTCAATGTTTTCATCCCTTTATGTTTCATCTATAGAGACTCTGCTTATTTTTATACTCCATTCTTAAACTGGATTATTTTCTTGTTCAGTGTTTTAGTTCTTTATATATTGTAAATAATAACATTTTATCTGACATATAATCGGTAAAGATCTTTACTCATTCTGTTTGCTGCTGCTTATGTGAATAACTCTGTGTCCTTTGAAAGATTTTCCTATATGAATGAGTTAAAGCTTATTTCCCACTCTTTCTCTTCTATCAAATTCAGCATATCTAGTCTCATGTTGAGCTCACTGACCCACTTGGAGTTTACTTTTATGCAAAGTGACTGATAGAGATGTATTTGCATTCTTGCACACGCAGCTATCCAGTTTCACCAACACCATTTTTGAAGATAATAACTTTTCTCCAATGTGTATTTTTGTGGGGTTTTTTTTTGTTTTTTTTTTTTGTTTTTTTTTTAGTCAAAAATTCAATGTAGGTACATAAGTGGATCTTCAATTTGATTCCATTGATCAATGTGTCAGTATTACAAGTTAAATTTGGAGATGGTACCTTCAGCAACTCTTTATTTATTCAGGATTATTTTGGCTTACGAGGGTGCTCTCTGAGAAGAAAGTGTGTGTGTGTGTGTGTGTGTGTGTGTGTGTGTGTGTGTGTGTGTATCTATGTGTGTTTGGGCCATTTCTAGTATATCAATCCTATCTCCTTGTCTTTTTCAGTGTCTGAAAGTTTTTATTTTAAAAAAATTTTCCCACATTTGGTTATAGTGATCTGAAGATATTTTTGAGGAACTTGTAAAACTACTGTTTCTCTAATTTTCTCAAACTGTCATTTGCATATAGGAAGGATAATAATTTTTGCGTGTTAAGTTTGGAATACTGATACTTTGCTGAAACTGTTTATGAAATGTAGAAGTTTACTGGTGGAGTCTATATGGTGTTCTATTCATAAAATTATTTAAACTGCACACAGAGATAATTTGACTTCATTCTTTCTTCTTTGTATCACCTTGAACTCCTTCACTGTTCTTATTACTCTAGCTAAAACTAAAAGTACTATAATGACTATGTGTAGAGAGTTATTTGGTTTTGTATCTAATTTTAGTGGGAATGCTTTGGGTTTCTCTCCATTTAGTTGATGCTGGCTATAAGAGGGATGTAAATCACCTTTGTTAATGTTGAGGTATGTCCCTCATATCCCTAGTCTCTCCAGGACTTTCATCATAAAATAATGTATCTTGTCAAAGGCAAAATATCTGTGTCTTGCCTTTGTATTTAATGAAGCAATCATGTAGTTTTTGTCTTTTATTGATGTGATAGTCAATGTTTATTGATTTAAACATGTTAAACCATACCTGCATCTCTGGGATCAAGGTTACTTGATTATGGTGGGTGGTCTTTTTGTTTTACTCTTTTATTCGGTATGCAAGTATTTATTAAGAAATTTTACATCCACTTATAAGTGAGTATATACTCTGGGTATCTTTCTGCTTCTGGGTTACCTCAGTCAGAATGATCTTTTCTAGTTCTATCTATTTGCCTGAAATTTCATGATTTCCTTGTTTTTAATTATTGGGTAGTATTACATTGTGTAAATGTACCACAATTTCTGCATCCATTCCTTGGTTGAAGGACATCTAGGTTGTTTCCCATATAATATAGGATAAACATATTAAAATCTATAGTCCTAAAGAAGCTAAACAACAAGGAGGACCCTAGCAAAGATACTTAATCGTCATTCAGAAGGGCAAACAGATAGACATTAGAAGTGGAAGAAGATAGGTAACAGGGCAGAATCCTACCACAGAGGACCTCTGAAAGAATCTGCATAGCAGGTATCTAAGCAGATGCTGAGTCTCATAGCCTAATCTTGTGCAGGGTGCAGGTAATCTTATGGAAGAAGGGTGAGATGGAAATGTCTGGACAGGACAGGAGATCTACAAGAACAACAGACCCAAAAAATTCTGGCCCCAGGAGGGCCTGCCGAGACTGATGCTGCTCCAATCAAGAACAATGCACGGAGAGGACTTAGAACCCTTGCTCAGGTGTATCCCACAGGTAGCTCAGTTTCAATGTGCATTCCTTAATAAGCGGAGCAGGTGCTGTCTCTGACTTGGACTCAGTGGCCTGCTCTTTAATCACCTTTTGGGTTGAGGAGTGGGGGGTGGGGGGCAGCTTTGCCAGGCCACAGTAAAAGACAATGCAGCCAGTCCTAATGAGACCTGATAGGCTAGGGTCAGATAGTAGGGGAAGAGGACCTCCCCTATCAGTGGACTAGGTGAGGAACATAGAGGGAAAAGAGGAAGAGAGAGTGGGACTGGAAGGAAATGAAGGATGGGGCTACAGCACGTATTCAACTGAATAAATTGTAATAAATAATAACTTAAAAAAGAGAAATGTATGAATTTATCCATTATAGTTCTGAAAAACCTACATTGCTTTAATCTTAGAAAACCTGAATTTAGGTTGTTGTCTGGTTTTTAAATAATAAAAGTGACTACAAAATCAGAGAAAACAAATATCTTGGTTAGAATTTCTGATAAACTAGTGACAAAGCTGTTGATGTCATATGGTTAAAATAGGGCCAGCAAGATGCCTTATTGTCTAAAGATGCTTTCTTCCAAACCTGAAGACTTTTCTTGTATCACCAGGTCCTACATGATAGAATGTACTAACTCCTGCAAATTATACAATAACTTCTTTTCATAGCATATAATAAACAGGAATGCAGAATTGAAAAAATAAAATTTGAAAAACACTTTTAAAAGAAAAAAATCATTTCTAGATCCCACCACTTGCCTGCAAATTTCATGATTTTCTTGTTTTTAATTGCTGAGTAGTATTCCATTGTGTAAATGTACCACAATTTCAGTATCCATTCCTCAGTTGTGGAACAACTGTGCTGTTTCTAGGTTCTCGCTATTACCAATAAAGCTACTATGACATGGTTGAGCAAATGTCCTTTTGTGTACTTGAGCATATTTTGGATATATGCTTAGGAGTAGTATAGCTGGATCTTGAGGAAACACTATTCCTAATTGTCTGAGAAAGTGCCAGACTGATTTCTAAAATGGTTGTATAAG